TCTTATTCTGTGAGCTTAGGCAATAAAAGGTGCTAAATTCTCAGGACCATAATTTTAACTGAGAAGTCAGTGTGTGCAAGGAAGTAGTTTGCAAGGTGCCAAGACAGAATTCATGCTAATCAGCCATCAGCTGCTTCATAACAATAGCATATAATCTTTTTGACCACACCCTTCCCAGAGAGATGTAGATTCTGCAGCCTCAGTTTGCCTGGTGATGTAGTTGAATCTGCAGAAATGCTAACTAAACTAATTTTGAATAAGTTAGGGTTTAGAAAGCTGGGACCAATGTATTTTAACACTATGTATAAGTAAACTTTATATTCATACCTGACCTGCCATGTTCATTTTTATTTTTGTTTTCTACCACAACTGGAAAAAAATTCCTCAGCAGCTGAAGTCAAACCTGGGAGTTTCACTAACATCTTTGAATTCAAGGAAAAACAATTATTTTGAATTTTTATAGGGAAAAGGTAATCACTTCTGCTGACTTGAGAGCCTGAACAAAAATGAGTTCAGCATAAATAACCTTATTAATAAAGCGTAAAGCAGGAGGACTTTTTTGCTAATACTAAGTGTAAATGAAACTTATAAGAAGTAATTGTAAACCTGCTAGGTGGATGTGTTCATCCTATTCCATTCTGAATACACAGCTGCTGTCAAAATGCAGACTGATGTGCTGCTGCTCTGTTGATTCTGCTCCCTTGGCTGAAGTAACACTGCCCTCCTCCAGCAGCCTCTGTCTTCTCACAGATGGGTCAGAAATGGTGGCTCAGCAGCAGCTACGGTACTGGTGTGACTGACTCTGCACGTGTGCAGAGCTCCATGGTTACAACAGGGAAGCAGAGGACTAGTGAATGTGGGTTTTGTGTTACAAAAAGAATGACTAAACTCGTAACTGTATGATGCATTTTTGTTGTGGCCCAGATGATGATTTCCAGTTAATACAGAGGACTTTTATGGAGAAGCACTACCAGGAGTTTGATGACTCGGAAGAAAACAAGCTCATCTATACTTCTATTTTTAATGAATATGTAAGACACTTTCTCCTAATTTTTGCATGTATTGGGTTTTTTGTTTTTTTTAAGGCCAGTGTCAGGTCCTGTATTCCCCCTTCATAAAATACTGGGTTTACATGGAGCAGAGCCAACATACTGCATGCTGTCTCTTTCATGATCTGTGAGCAAGAAAGATGTTTTCTGGAGCTCTAGGTTCCTTTCTCTTTGTTTCACCTGAAAACTTATACAAATGTTTTGTCCTCACCAGTATTCCCAGCAAAAACATTCAGCTCAGTGCCTTACCCAGTGGTGTGAATAATTGAACTAGCATTGCCCAGCAAGGAATCTGCAGTTGTGTGCCCAGTGAGGGTAATACAAAATGTCAATAAAGTGTCAGTGTATGGAAGATGCACTGTTTTGAAATCTGCTCCTGAAATTTGTTATGATGTTGTTGGGGTGGTTTGTTTGTTTCAGATCTCTCTAGTAGAGAAATACATCGAAGAAAAATTGCTTGATCAGATTCCTGGTTTTAATATGGCTGCTTTCACAATGTCATTGCAGTAAGTCTCTGCTTTGCTTTTGGTTGGGGGGCAGATTATGTGCTTCTCAATTAACTCTCTTTATCTAGATTAAAACTTAGGTTTGACAGTTCTCCCTTTATAAAGAGGTTCCTCTGTAATTACAAAAAAAGTGTTCATGTATGCAATGAATGACCACTTTCCTTGCCTTCAGCATGTTGTGCTACTCCAAATTTCTGAACTGTTATGCTGAAATATATTGGGGGGTGTGGTGGTTCAACTCCAGTCAGCAACTAAGCACCACGCAGCTACTCGCTCACCCTCCCCCTCTGGTGGGATGGGGGAGAGAATCAGGGGAAAAAAAAGTAAAACCTGTGGGTTGAGATAAAGGTAGTTTAACAGGACAGCAAAGGAAGCGAAAATAATAATAGATAAAGGAATATACAAAGCAAGTGATGCACAATGCAATTGCTCACCACCCGCTGACTGATGCCCAGCCAGTTCCTGAGCAGCGCTCGCTGCCCCCGGAGACAGTTCCCGAGCAGCGATCACTGCTCCCCCCCCCCCCCCCCCCCAGTTTATATACTGAGCCTGACATCATATGGTATGGAATAGCCCTTTGGCCAGTTTGGGTCAGCTGTCCTGGCTGTGCCCCCTCCCAGTTTCTTGCGCACCTGGCAGAGCATGGGAAGCTGAAAAGTCCTTGACTAGTGTAAGCACTACCTAGCAACAACTAAAACATCAACATTACCAGCATTATTCTAGTGCTAAATCCAAAACACAGCACTATGCCAGCTACTAGGAGGAAGATTAACTCTATCCCAGCCAAAACCAGGACAGGGTTTAAGGAGTAGGAAGAGAAATCACAATGAGTGAAAACACTGTACGGTTTTCTCCATTGTTGTCTCTTTGAAGCCAGACCCTTAAAAGGTTGAGTCTCATCTATCTCTTTC